TCGCCCGAAACCACACCGCCTCAATCCCTGGACACCTCTCCCTTGGTAACAACCACACCAACGGCCTCTACAGACACCTCACCAAATGCCATATCCTCTCCAAACAACAACCCAACCAACCCTGCCCCTGTACCCACCGAAACAACATCTACATCTGAAACTCAACAGCCACCTTGCCCACCAAGAAATCTTCTTCCGATGACAACAACGTCAAAGAACCAAATCACAAAACCCAACACCAAATTCACCAACACCATAGCCTCGAAACCATCTCATGAAACCGAACCCACGTGTGTTTCCCAAGCTCTCAAATCACCACATTGGAGATAGGCCATGACAGAAGAATCGATGCTCTCGTGAAAAACGGGACTTGGGATTTGGTTCCGATGGATGCCTCATACAATATTGTTGGATGTAAATGGGTTTTCCGAACTAAACGACACGCTGATGGCTCTTTTGACAGGTGCAAGGCCAGACTTGTTGCGAAAGGATTCCACCAACGCCCCGGGATTGAATATCACGACACTTTTAGTCCGGTGGTGAAACCGGCGACAGTCCGACTTATCCTAAGCATTGCAGTGACTCGTGGATGGTCTCTCCGGCAACTTGATGTGAACAATGCCTTTCTCCAAGGCCGACTAATGGATGATGTCTATATGACTCAACCTCTGGGATTTGTGGATCATGATCGGCCGTCTCATGTGTGCAAGCTCCACAAAGCTCTTTATGGGCTCAAACAAGCTCCGAGAGCATGGTACACGGAACTTCGACATTTTCTCGTTGGTATGGGATTCACCAACTCTCTTGCGGACACCTCGTTGTTTATCCTTCGAGAGCCCGACGCATTGACATACCTACTCGTCTACGTTGACGACATTGTGATCACCGGAAGCAATGCAACCCGCTGCCAATCCATCATCACCATGCTTTCCTCCCGGTTCTCCCTCAAAGATCTTGGGCGTCTCTCATTCTTTCTTGGCGTGGAAGTCACCCACTCATCTACCGGCATCTTCCTCAATCAACGACAATACATTCTCGACCTTCTAAAGAGGACAAACATGCTTAATGCGAAGCCCGTCTCAACTCCAATGTCTTCGACGACCTCCCTCATGTTAACATCGGGCTCTCCACTAGATGATCCTACGGAATATCGCAACGTGGTTGGAAGCTTACAATATCTACACTTCACTCGTCCCGATATAGCCTTTGCTGTAAACAAGCTCTCGTAATTCATGCACAAGCCGACTACGGAGCATTGGATAGGGGTGAAGCGTGTCTTGCGGTACCTTGTTGGATCCTGCAGTCTCGGCGTCTTCATGTCTTCTCAAAATTCACCCGAACTACATGCTTTCTCTGATGCCGATTGGGGTGGTAATCGTGATGACTTTATCTCCACTAGTGCTCATATTGTCTATCTCGGAAGCCACCAATCTCTTGGTCCTCGAAGAAACAACGGACCGCTGCCCGCTCCTCCACCGAATCCGAGTACAAGTCTATCGCCTCTACAGCCTCTGAAATCCGTTGGTTAGCATCTCTCTTCTCAGAGCTTGGCATTGCTCCAACAACACCGCCGGTTATCTACTGTGATAATGTCGGTGCGACATATTTGTGTGCAAATCCCGTGTTTCATTCCCGAATGAAACACGTCGCCATTGACTACCATTTCATCCGCGGTCTTGTTCGTGATGGTCTGTTGCGCGTCTCTCACGTCTCCTCTCTTGATCAACTCGCGGACGCTCTCACGAAACCGCTCCCTCGAGCTCGGTTTGATCTCTTGCGGGTCAAGATCGGTCTCGCACACGAGCCTCATCTTGCGGGGGCGTAAAGGAAGGAGTCAAAAGTCAAAAGGATATCTCGCTATTTTGTTTATATCAAATCTCTCCTCCATATTCTGCATGTATATAACTCATGTACAGAATGATTTTGCAATACAAGGAAAACACTTTCCCTAACCTTCGTATAATTCGTTGGAGGGAACTTGGTCACGTGGAAAAGCAAAAAACAAACCGTGGTAGCAAGGTTAAGCGCATAAGCCGAATACCGAGTTATGACCAATACAACAAGTGAGGTACTATGGTTGCATCAATTACTAAAATATCTTGGAGTTAATATTACACAGTCTACTTTGATGCATTGCGACAATCAAGCGGCAATACACGTCGCAACCAATTCCGTGTTTCATGAGCGAACAAAGGAGATTGAAGTCAATTGCCACTTCATCCGAAAAAAGATCACTCAAGACCTTGTCACGACAAAGTATACTCGAAGCCAAGAACAACTCGCAGATATCCTTACCAAGGCAACAAGTTCATTCGTGCTCAATCGCATCCTCTCCAAGATTGGCCTAGACGAGTTTTCTCACCCAATCTTGAGGGGGAAGTTGACAATATCACGGGAAAGACTGGATCTTCGGATAACACAACAGCCATAATCGTCGGAGAATAAGGAAACCTCGATACAGCAACAAACAACTTTTCTCTCTCCCAAGATATTGCATTTCCTTATGTATATTTAGTCATCACGTATATTCCTTTCTTGTCAATGATACACAATAGCATATATATACAAACGACACATGTATTCGATAATCAAGAAGAGAACTTTTCTTTTCACTACACTGTTTTATCTGTAGCCCTAAACTTCTCTTGCCGGCTCATCACACGCCGAGAAACCAAAACCATATTCGATCCTATAGTTTTGTTCAGTAAAGGCATCGAAAGTATGGATGACTTTACCTAAACAAGACATGCATGAGTTTGAGCACGACCTAGAGCTACTTGTATTCGTTATTCCAAATCCCAGTATCTAAGATCTTGGCGTAGATGTGAAAATGATATTTTATTTGAAAAAAAAGGAGGATATATCAAATAAATATCTAAAGTTTTAATTTAATCTAATTCTATTTTAAATTAAAATATTAAAATATTTTAAATAGATAACTAGTTTTGAAATCGATGAAAATTTTGAAAATAAAAAACAAATTGAAATTGTAAATTACTTTTAATTTCCTGAATTGAGTATTAATTTAGAATATTTTAATTTTGACGTATCAATTTAAAATGTTTTACCAATTTTAGAAGATTGTGTTTGCTTTATTTCCTTAGTGCATTGCTGATTAACAAAATCAAATGGAATTAAAAATAATTTCAAACAGTTTTTAAAGGGATTTGATCTAGATATTTTATATAATTTATATTAAATTAAGTTTATTGAAATTTATCCAAAATAAAACCAAAAATGAAAATTTCTTAAAAAATAAAAATACTTCTAAACAACAACCGAATCACAATAGAATTCAAATCTCAAGTAATAACAGTAAAATATTTTATGAAGTTTCGAATACGATATTAAAAGATAATTACAAATATTTTTAACAAAAAATAATCGGATATTTTTTTAACGTTTTATAACTTTTTATACCGTATTTGTAACCAAAAGATAATTACGTTACACTTTCTAAAAGAAATAAAACGAAAAGATAAATTTTCGACTATTTAACAATATCAAATACTAATAAAAAAATATTAAATAATTAATATTTGTCTGGTGTATAACGTAATAACATGAGAGCCCTCTAACCTAAATATTTATTCTAATTGATAATCTAATTTCAAGGGTATTTTCTGTAAGATAATTGGGTGCAAAATAGATTAAGGTACACATCCAACCCATTTTCTGTATTAAAAAAAAATTTCTTGGCGGCCAGCCAGTAGGGGGATCGAGTATCTTCATTTTTTAGGAAACCCGATCTCGGTCTCATCATCACGGGTTTTACGAAAAAATTATCTCATTCTTGGTTTCATGAGATCCGGATACCCCTAACCCGGGTTCAATGAGATTCTCAGTCTCGTACTCACGGGTACCCGGATCTCATAAATAAATAATTCAAATATTCTATAATTTATAAAATTCAATAAAAATAATTTAAACAACATTCAAAACTCTATTTTATAAATTATAAATTCGATTTCATAAATTAGAAAGATTGAGAATATAGAAAACAATTAAATAAAATAAAAATATTTTAATAAATAATAAAATACCTTATATAAATGTTATAAATATAAAGATATTTTAATTTTTAATTAATATATCGGGTATCCGGGGGTACCCGTTATGAGTTAATCGAAACCGAATCCGGACCCGGGGGTCAAAAACTCGGCCTCGTTAAACCCAGTCTCATCATCGTTAATATCCGGGTACCCTTTCTCCGGATACTTGTTAAACCGGATAACCCCAAACCCCCGGATTACGGGTTGAAACGTCCACCCCTACCAGCCAGCTTGTGGCTAGCCCCAAACAAACAAATCAACTCGCTGAACCTAAAATTTATGATTTTATTTTGATATACTAATTAGTGTTATTATAATTTTATTTTATTTATATTTTTCTTCTTTTAATTGTATTTTTATTTGATGTTGATGTTGACAATTTGTATTTGATTTTAAATATAATTTTTAAAATGCAATTTAGATCGAAATACCTTTTTATTGTATTTATTTTAAATTTCCTAATCCGTTTGTTTGGATTGTGGATAAGGCGAGATAAATTAATATTTTTTATTAAAAAAACAAATTATACTAGTTTGAATCCAAAATCAAAGAATTTAAGGTGATATATGGGGCAACAAATCCATTTTACTTTAACCAAAAAAAAAATCCATTTTACACACAAGTTTCCATTTAGAGAACAAATTTTATTTTGGATCATAAAAAAATATCTAGTTTCCCGAAAGACTGTGGTTCGTTCCGTGCTTCGTTCAACTAAATGTTCTCCTAACAAAATTTGTGAAACTCTGGGGTTAAATTAAGAATCCGTTAGAATTTAGGTGTCAATACAAGAAATGCTTAATAGTATAAGGACTTTGAGTGCAAAATTGGGAGAACGCAATTGATAGACTGGTCACAGAGAGATGTATACGCACGTTCATGTGGTCTCTTATTTCTGTCGCCGGGAAATTTCATCGCCGCCGTGTTTTCTCTCCTCTCTTCTGCTCCGCCGCCGTGAATCTGCCCATTTGGTCGGACGATAAGGACTCGATTTTATTTATTCGTTAAATAATCATTTTATGCAAAAATAGGCTTATAGTACAAAGGCTATATATAATATAAGCTGCAGGAATACTCTGCTTTGTACAAATTTCAGTATGAAAAAAAAAGAAAAAAAATCGTGCACCTAACTGTATGTCTGCGAATATTCAATTCAACATCCCCGTGAATTATTGAAATAAAATAAAATAATAAAAACCGGAGAATTTAGTTATGATGATCGAGTAGTGGTGACCGGACATGTTCGGTCTGCTTATAAGGTTCTCTGGGACATCGGAGGCGTTCCGTCGCTGACTTTGACTCATCTTCTTCGTCCCTTCCCCCTTTTTTTTTACCGTTCACCGGGAAATCATCGTCGGCAAATCGTCTCTTCCGGAGAAGGATGTCTACCGACCGCCTCAGGCATGTCGAGTCCATGTCGGAGATCCCATCCGGTGCCGGCAAGATCTCTCATTTGAACGCTGTTGTTTTGGGCGAATCTCTTGCCTCTGAGGAGAATGATCTCATCTTCCCTAGCGAGGATTTTTCCCGCCAAGCTCTCGTTCCCTCTCCCCAAAAGGTTCACTCTCTGTCCGTCTCTTGTGTGCCTGTTTCTTCAATCTAGGCGATGGGACAAATAGAAAGTAGATCTCGTCTGGTTTGTTGTTCAATTCTCTGTTCGCTGTTGTTTTCGTTTCGTTCAGTACTCGGAGATGTATAGAAGGTCGGTCGAAGATCCGGCTGGGTTCTGGTCTGACGTTGCGTCTGAGTTTTACTGGAAGCAGAAATGGGGTGATCGAGTTTTGTCTGAAAATCTGGATGTCAGGAAAGGCCCTATCCATATCGAGGTCGGGATTCTTCTTCATCTATGTTTGGATTGAAGTATTTTATTGTCCTTAAAAAGGGTCCTGACATTGCCTGAGATCATATGCAAACCAGTGGTTCAAGGGAGGAATCACCAACATTTGCTACAATTGCTTGGACAGAAACGTTGAAGCAGGTCTTGGTGATAAAACCGCCATTTACTGGGAAAGCAATGAACCCGGTTTCGGCACCTCCTTAACTTATTCCGAGCTACTTCACAGAGTTTGCCAGGTAGAAATGGCTACACCACCGTCCTGTCCTTCCTCTCCGGGCATCCTATTGCATTCTCCAAAACACTGGCATTTCCTTAAATTCTCTCTTCGTGGATCCCTTGTTACAGCTTGCTAATTACTTGAAAGATATCGGAGTGAAGAAGGGGGATGCAGTTGTGGTTTACTTGCCGATGTTGATGGAACTTCCAATTACTATGCTTGCGTGTGCACGGATCGGAGCTGTTCATTCGGTACTCTGCAATACCATTTACATTCCTCTGTATGAATCTTTTGCACAGTTCACTATACACGTTCATTTGTCCTAAATTCCTTTCATCCTCATCCTAGGTTGTTTTTGCTGGATTTTCTGCTGATTCTCTTGCCCAAAGAATCTTGGACTGTAAGCCCAAAGCAATATTGACGTGCAATGCTGTTAAAAGAGGTCCTAAGATCATACGTCTTAAAGATATTGTTGATGCTGCCCTTGACCAGTCCTCCAAGAATGGAGTTTCTGTAGGTTAGTTATATATCGAACTTCTGATTAAAAATTTGTGTACTACTAACTCTTCCTTTAACTGTTGTTTACTCTTCTCTGCTTCAGTTAACTGTTTCGCAGTTGTCCTTTGCATGTTCTTGCTCTATTGCTTGTCAGGTCAATCTCTTCATAACTTATGATTATGTGACTGTTTTGTCTGTCTTCAAACTGCAAGCAGATGTATGTTTGACCTATGACAACTCATCAGCCTTGACAAGGGAAAACACTGAATGGCAGAAAGGAAGAGATGTGTGGTGGCAGGTGATTGTTAGGTCATTCGTTAATTGGTAAAATGCATCCTTTCTGTTTATTTTTGCGAACCATCCTTAAACTCAGTCGGAATTTGTTTTGTTGGTCGGCGGTGATGCTCTTTGCAGGATGTTGTCCCCAACTATGCAACAGCCTGTGAGGTGGAATGGGTCGATGCGGAAGATCCCCTGTTTTTGCTCTACACCAGTGGAAGCACTGGGAAGCCGAAGGTACTTTTGGCCCTTTAGGTTGAATTGTTAGCTTGCTGTGGGTCATGTGCTGTCTCTGATATGAGTTCTTGAAAGGGTGTCCTTCACACGACTGGAGGATATATGGTCTACACTGCTACAACGTTCAAATATGCCTTTGACTACAAATCATCAGATGTCTACTGGTATCATTGGAGACCAATCTCCACCTTTTAGGCTTTTAATCCTTTAGATTTGAAGTTTCTCAGTCAATGGTAATTTGTCTTTCTTTCTGTAATTTAGGTGTACAGCTGATTGCGGTTGGATAACTGGCCACAGCTATGTTACTTATGGCCCAATGCTAAATGGAGCCACTGTCGTTGTCTTTGAAGGGGTAATTCATTTGGATATTTAATCTGTTTGCCAAGTTTAAACTTCGGCCTGCCAATGCATTCGTGTATCATTAGATGTTAATGTGTCTTGATATTCTCATCTGGTCCGGAACAGGCGCCAAACTATCCCGATTCTGGACGTTCTTGGGAAATTGTTGACAAATACAAAGTTTCCATATTTTACACTGCCCCAACATTGGTGCGGTCTCTCATGCGTGATGGAGATGAGGCAAGATATATATATACACATATATATATGTATATATATTACTCTATTTGTGGTAAACCAGTACTATAAAATGCTTCTGCATGCAACATGAAACGAAGTACACCAAATTTTTGTCTGTCTTCTAAATTCTAGTGGTCTTATGGAAAAAGAATTCTCTTCAGGGTCCTTATTGTATTGTTTTCAAATTATTATGATTGTTCCAGTATGTAAAACGTCATTCTCGTAAATCACTGAGGATCCTTGGAAGCGTGGGCGAGCCTATCAATCCCAGTGCTTGGAGGTTTGCAGCTCTATTGTCTTTTGCCCCTTTGCACGTATCATGGGAATTGAGAATAAAATGCTTTAAAGGTTTGCTTTTTCTTCTTGCAGATGGTACTTCAATGTAGTCGGTGATTCAAGGTGTCCCATTTCAGATACCTGGTGGCAAACTGAAACTGGTGGCTTCATGGTGATTCTCTTCCGCTTTCTCTCTCCCTCTTTCTCAACCTTGCCCCCTCTCTCTCTCTCCCTCTCTGAGTCCATCTATCTCCTTCTCATTCACAGTACACCATGTTTCATGGCAGATAACTCCATTGCCAGGTGCTTGGCCACAGAAGCCTGGTTCTGCAACTTTTCCTTTCTTTGGAGTGCAGGTTAGTGACTGACAGTAACAGCACAAATGCGGGTATAATCTGATTAGCTTCCCTGTTTCGGTATTCTGTCTTCCTAATGCCTTAATTTCTGCCCCTTGCTGCAGCCTGTGATAGTTGATGAAAAAGGCAATGAAATTGAGGGTGAGTGCAGCGGTTATCTATGTGTGAAAAGTTCATGGCCTGGGGCATTTCGAACTCTGTATGGCGACCATGAAAGATATGAGACTACGTACTTCAAACCTTTTGCTGGATATTATTTCAGTGGTGACGGATGCAGCAGGTCAGGAACTATTTCCAATTAGTTGTTTTCTTTCTACCAACACTTTTTAGGTATGGAGTCAGTCTCTTTTCAACTTTGTATTGGGTGGTAGAAAAATGTTTTTTTTAATTGATTATACACACAACACAACACATGTTGATTGACATGGTTGATATAAGTTTAATGTTTGTGTTCCAGAGACAAGGATGGATACTATTGGCTTACAGGAAGGGTTGACGATGTTATCAATGTCAGGTACAACTCAAATTTACAGATTGAAAAAGTTTCTCCAAAACCCTTGATGTCCTCTTCGGCACTCAAAACTCTCATGAATATGCGCAGTGGTCACCGGATAGGTACTGCGGAAGTGGAGTCTGCTCTGGTGTCACATCCCAAATGCGCAGAAGCCGCTGTTGTTGGTATCGAACATGAGGTATAGGGACAAATAACTGCGCATGTTTTTGTGGGCACATATTGGTCCGATTTCGATATGAAAGTTACTATGTTTCTGGTTCGTAACAGGTGAAAGGTCAAGGCATCTACGCGTTTGTCACTCTCGTGGAGAGTGCTCAATACAGTGAAGAACTCCGGAAAAGCCTCGTACTTGCTGTCCGAAATCAGGTTCGACCCTCTTAAGCTTGCTCTTGTAAAACCAACGAGTGTTATATCTCGAACATAGTTACTAAAACCACCATGCTCGGGAATGTTTCCGTTCAGATCGGGGCATTTGCCGCACCAGACAAAATACATTGGGCACCGGGTCTTCCCAAGACGAGAAGTGGAAAGATAATGCGTAGAATCCTGAGGAAAATAGCATCGAGGCAATTAGACGAGCTCGGAGACACTAGCACACTCGCAGATCCCGGTGTAGTCGATCAACTTATTGCTCTTGCTGATGTTTGAATGATTTTTTTTTTTTCTGGCATTCCCATTCAACCCACAAAAACCATATTGCATTGTTAACACGACACGATTGTGTTTGTGCTCTGTCTCGACTTAGGTAAATTATTCGTTGTGCTGTCGGATACTAATAAGCCTGAAACCAACAGGGTTTCAATTTGGACACTCGTGTTGTGTTTCAGTTGTCAAGGCTTCGTCATTTCTTAAATTTCATGAGTCAATAAATACAAGTTTGTCTACCATACACCTTGTGCTGGCACCCTTTCCCGGTCCCCCGTCCAACACCAGACTGCCCTATACTAAATACATGTTTGAGATCTCATCTTCTCGATGTCTTCCATGTTTAATTTGGTTGTCAAATACACCAAAATCTCTCAGTGAACAGTTGTGGCTTGGGAACCTGAGGTCTCTCAAATCGCGTGAAGAGATGAATAAAATTGATTTGTAAATGCAGGACTTCTACATAACCTGGTATTGTTCGTAAAAAGAAATATCTTATAGACAAGGATTTAATAGTGGGACCTTTTTTTTTTCCAAAAGTTTCATCAGATGCATGCCTTCTCCTAAGAATCCCCAACCCAAAACCCATATACCCAAACCAAGTTAGTGAAGAACAGCACTGAGTCAGATGATGAAACCTCCCCAAAAATCACTTCCAGATCTTCATAAACTTATCATGACTCGCCGAAGCAACCATTCCCGTTATGCTCGAGGCCGCCAACGCCGAAACTCGCTTCTCGTGGGCATGCAGCGTCATTGTTTTGTTCTCGGCCATGTCCCACAGCTCCAGTGTCTTCACAAGGCATTGGATTGTGACATACACACCAAAACATAGCCTTGTTCAGTGCCTATGTTCGGTAAGAGAGTGATACCTGACTTGAGAAATCGATCTTACCTCATAGCAACCGATAATCAGCACGGAAGTATATGTGGGATGGAACACGCAGGTGTTGAATTTGTTCCCGCTTGAGCTCAGCTCATGAATGCACTCACCTTTGCTGCTCGACGACCCGATGGACCATACTCTTATCATGTCGTTGCTGACCGTTGCAAGATATTCCCCAGACGGATCCCAGCACACGGAGTGCACGAGGCCCTTGTGACCCTGCAGCAAGGAATTGCAAATCAGTGATGATACAGTGTATTATATGGATCATGCGAAGCTGAGAAAAATGGTTCTTGTTTCTCAAAAGATCAGTAGTTTATCCTTTATTGAACAAATCCAGTTGCAAAGAAGGCATGTTACATCTTGGAAAATCACTATTACGATTATCTAGCTAAGCTTCTCGGATGAAATGTTTCGTTTCTGTCATTTAAACTTTATCAATATTTCCATGTTTCTCATACTACCAGAAAAATTCTCATTGCATGGTAATATTTAGTGTACGAAGTTGTTAAAGTCTAGAGCTAGAGTCATGCCGCAGCACCAAAACAAACCTGCAATTTGCACCTGCAAACTTGAGTCTCTACGTCAAGTATCGATGCATAATTGTCAGCTGCAGCTGCAAGCATCCTGCCAGCTCCTGGTTGAAACCGCATCTGTGTTGCACCGCCCTGTATAAGACTCGCTTAACACCACATACATTTGCATTTGGATAGACTTCGCAACGATTTCAAAATTTTTGTACCTTGAAAACTCCAGCACAGCTTCCATTCTTTATACTCCAGTACCGTATTTCGCTGTTATTATCACAAGAACAGAGAAGGTCCTCTTTACACGGATGGAAATCCAATGACATGACAGTCGTTGAATGTCCCGTGAATGTGCGGAGAGAATATCCTGGCTGGGAAATGAAACACGAGAATTGCCAAGAAACAGTAGCATCACAAGTTTAATTTACAGTATGCATTCTCACAAACTAATTATCTTGGACTTTCTTCCTAATCTTTTAAAAAGGCCCTTAGATTAATCTAATGGAAAAGGGCGGAATTACTAGTCTGCTACTTACATTGTCAGCATCCCAGACCCGGACAGTTTTATCAGCCGACGATGTAGCAAGCCGAGAGACGTTAGGACTAAAACGGACATCTGTAATCCACTGAACATGCTCCTCAAGAGTAGACTTCATTGTAAACGAGTCTGTAGACCATAACACACCCTGCATGATGCCAAAGTCAGGCATAAACTCCCGTTGCAGGTATCTCAACCAATGAATGATTTGATAAGAAAGGGCTCAAATGTGGTTTGAATGCCTTGAGATGCTGCTACAATACAGAACGTTATGTATACGAAGCAAACACCTTTTTGTCATGGCCACCGGTTGCAAGAAGCTTTCCATCAGATGAGAAATCACAGCATTCAATTTTACTTGTGCTTGCAGAAATATTTTGGAACTCGGTAAATGTGAAACCTGATAATATAGTACCAATCACAAAACCCAAAACATCCATTCTGTTTGCATTATACCTGTTATAGGGTAGAAAGAATGAAGAATGAAAATGGAAGTAATATGGATTTTTATTAAATTTACCTTTGCCGATACTAGTATTGCTGCCACCATCTCTAGGTTCAACATCATCGTTAGCTATGTATGAATCCACATTATCATCTAAAGTTCCATCATCTACGAAACGCTCCATATTGGCCTGCAATTGATTATAAATAAGCAGAAGGAACAGGTTGAACAGTCGCTGATCACGCTTCCAGAAGCATCTAGAAAAATCTTACTAGTTGATTTGATGCCGATGGAAGGGACCCAACACCATCAGAACCGTACATCAGCATCGACTTTGATGCAATACCAGTAGGTGGTAACGTAGACCTAGACATACCCTCTCCCGGTGTCTGATTGGTTGAAGGGGATGATGGTGAACTAGGGGATGGTCCGGTCGTATTAGCAGTTCCCGAGCTATTTGCAGGGCCTGATGAAGATGCCGGATGTTTCCTTTTCCTTCCCATTTGATTCTTTGACGCCTATCACAAACAATTAATTTTACTTATAGAAAGACCAAGAGTTCATTTCTGCCAACGCAATCAATGTTTTAGCTGATACAGATTAAGAATAAATCAAGATCAAAAGGTAAAATAAATGTAAGAGAATGTCCACAAAAGAATAATCTAGCCTAAAACAGTAAATAGTCAAAATCACGGACCATCTCATATTACATTCACAAAACTGAGTATTTAGCATCGGAATGCAAAATAGCTTGCGAAGCTGTCACCTGTTCGCTGCCCTGGAAAGTGTTGGCCATGTTACCATCCATAATCACATTGACCGAGCCAATAGCCTTATCTGGTTGCTGAAGAAGGTGGCCTGAAATCCGAGAATGCTGACTCAAAAGCTGGTCTTGTTGGTAGTTTGTGGCCTGCTGGCTATTTTTCAGAAGCTGTTGCTGTTGTAGCTGAAATATATGATTATATGATTGTCACAGGATGCCTCGTTATCTAGCATACAAAACAGAACAAAGGAACTTGGAAGCGGAAAACAAATACTGAACCTTAAGTAGCATTTCAGGATCTCCACGAGGCAGTGAAGGGCAGCCCAGTTGAGTTGGTGATCCTATGTTTGGGACAGCATCACCAACAGAATTCAGTGGGCCATCCTTTCCAAGGCCCATGCTCTGATCGCCAAGAAGCATTTTCAGTTTTCTAACATCTAAATCTCTTGCAGATGGCGATGTCAAGTTCCGTTGCGCCTGAAGCAACAGCTGTTGTTGCAATGGGAGGTTGCTAAAAGCCTGGGAAGGAGAAAACAGAGGTTTCTGTTGCTGAAGAATCTCTGCTCTGATTTGATCAAGGCCCTGAAAGCGGAAAAACTCGCAATCAGCATATAAAAAGAGAGCTACTGAAGTCCCTTAAAAAAGCCACATGAATACATGATATACACAGAAGGCATAAAAAAATCAACGGCTCAGAAGAACAATGGCCGAAGTTAGTACGTTCAACATGTTCTGACTCACAGCACAGTTATATTCCTAAGTTTAACTGTGCCAGCATCTACTCACAGAGTCAGTGTAGCAATATATGTGTGAAACTATGCCAAAGTGGCCAGTGGATGAAGAAAAGAAAAACTTACAGTCAAAGGCCAACCTTTCAAAGTCAAGTTGCCACCACGGGGATTTGTTCCTGAAATAACAAACCAAGGTTCCTAAGAATAGAAGAATATAAGCTAAATTGAGATCAGAGAAAGAACTGAAACCAGTAACCTAATAGCATCTGCAACAAAAAGTAAACAATCTAAAGAAATAGTACCATGGACCCCGTCAAATGATCCATCAGGCGCTATACCTCTCGCATTCATCATTGAGTTCACCTCATTTCTCATGTCCTGTCCACAAAATTATAATCAGAGATTATAGGAAACATCATACAAAACTCTGAAAAGGGTGGTCAAAGGAAGTAAATGCCTGTGTGGATACAGGCAGCTGTTGATTCCGAATTTGAGCTTGTTGTAGATTTCCAGAAATAGCCCTGGGGGTACCATGCATGGTCTGCCTGAATGATTTATATCAGCAGCTACCAGATTAAACATCACTAATAAACTAAACAAAACACAACATTCTTGCTAGCATAGCATTAAGTATACAAATTAATCAAATGGATACCCGACAGTGTGCCCACCCATTGCAGCTGCTTTCAGTACTGAGGCTTGATTCGGATCCAAAATCTGGCCCGTACTATGCTGCATCAATAACGGCATTTCACAACGTGCATCAACAGAGAAACAAAGAAAGAAGATACTTTGGAAGCATTTGACGTGCTACCTTCAAAGGAGCATCATCAACTAAGGAATCCCTCTGAAGATGAAGCTTTAGCCTATCTTCATATGCCTTTGCAGCCAGGGCACCTGAAGTCGAAGAACTCTGACTCATATGGTTTTCACTGCCCATAAAATTACCCGAAGTTCCGAGCTGAAGTGAGCCATTACCATCCCGTCTTTGTTGCTGTTGTTGCTGCTGGGCCGCTCTCTGTAGCATAACTTGTGACATCGACATTTGCTGATTGTGTTGGGGCTGTCTCTGCTGTTGTTGCTGCTGCAAGTCCCGCGGCTTGAGCATTTGATTCTGCAACATAGGTTTTTTTGTTTCGATGTTCACACTTGAGTTCTAAAAGAAATCTCCTTGTGGAATACCTTCTACTAGAAAAAGAAAGTACCCCGTGGAACCACAGAATTTCTTGAACTAGAAAACGACCTTCATCATCTGATATCATTAATTAAGTTCCATGTTTGAACTCTAAACGGTACTACCATGCAAAATGACAATGGGTATTTGAGCTTTGTAAATCTAGAAGAATATACATCAGTTCATGGAGAGGACTTGAGTAAATGAATCAATGGTATCTAGACTATATCTATGTGTATATATATATATATATATATATATATATATATA